CACACACACACACACACACACACACACACACACACCTTTGTACAAACAGTAGCTTGATTAGCATGCATGAAGCACAAATAAACATAAATGAACATTTTAAATGAAAAAAAAAATAGTTTGAGTTATTTAGTTTGAACTTGGGAGAACTAAAAAGCTGAAAATTAAATTAGTGAACAAGTTAATACAACAATGCATTATCATTTAAAATATTATAGACTGAATACAAGGGGGCACATTTTTAAAAAATGCTATAAAATAATAAAAATGACCAATGTTTTGTTCATGACACACACAAAACAAATTAACTTACCAAGTGTGTACCTGTGAGTAACAAGTACTTACGGTGTATATAAGTCCTGGTACATATCAGGTGCTTGCTGAGTTCATGTAGATATGTACCTGTGACTTGTCATGTAAGTAATAGGGGTCGGATTTATAAAACTTGCTTACGCACATAATGGGGCCAGAAACTTGCGTTTCCTACTTTTCAGGCAAAGATTCTGATTTATAAAACCCAAACTTGGCGTGAAAATGTGTGGTCTCTCACACCAGTTCTGACCCATGCGTATGTTCATTTTGGAGACGGGAAGCTGCGACACAGATGGTGAAGTGAGGAATTATAGCCACACTGTGTATTGATCCCTCTCAGATAGGTACTTTGCATTATCCGTTTATGGTTGAGTGTGGACGTGTAGAGGGTAGAACCTGAGGCGGGACCTTGTGTACAAACTCTGAAGTGCAGCTGTGATCTATAACGAAAAATTGCTTAAAGATGTGCGTACGAATGATTTTATAAATCAAAAAAAAAATTTTGGCCTATGCCATTTTGAACCTTTTGGCCATATGTTCACTTTTAGTATGAATGCTACGCAGTCCTTTATAAATGAGGCCCCAAGTGTTAGGTTTATAACAGGCCTGTACCTGGTAAATACCAGGTAAGTACTTGCAATGTTTTTAAATTGGTTCATACCAAACTAGTAACAGAAAATATAGAAAGATGATCTGTGTAAACAACCCGGCAGAAATAAGCATGATAATTCAAACACCAATACCAAGAACTTAAAATCAGGAAAGAAGGGACAAGTAATTGCAATAAAAAAAGAAAATAAAACAAACAAACAAAAAACCCTTAAACTGTGAAAGTATTGGATACATATATGCTAAGTATTTGGCTGTACTATGTATTTTTTGACCCAGTGCAAAGCAGAATGCTATAAGGAAACCTCAGCTCCCGTAATAAACTTACTGTGATTATATAGTGATGTATAACTGTGATTTTTTTATTATCCAGTTTGTCTTGTCTTTAATCCTTAAAAAGATAGTAAATACAGAGCAATAAATATAATTGAACAGTCCTTAACAGTTTGCTTATATCTTTACAGGAACAATTAAAGTGACATAATCAATCTTCCAAACCTCCAAGCTGAGCTTTCAACCCATATGTGTGTTGCAGTGGCTCCAGTGATGGAGCGTGTATCAGGAAATGTGGTGGAGTTTGAGATGAGCTCTCTGACGCCGGCGACACACTACACTGTGAAGGTCTACGCTGTAAGGGACATGGCCAAGAGCGCAGCTACTACAACAGAATTTACCACAGGTCAGAGGGATTTACCACACAAGTGTTTATTAAGTTTATTAAGTTTAATAAGTTTTATTAAGTCATAATCAATTCATAAAGACATTGAGTTGCAGAAATATTCACCCCTTTAGTATTCTTTTTTGCTGCCTTAGGTCAAATGATCCCATTATACATGTAAATGTGTATGTATATGCCTCCCATCTCTGGTTAGAGAGCCCCCAGAATCAACACCAGTGTAACACCACCAATTAATAAAAACTACCACCAAGCAACAGACATGAGGACCGAGGAGTCTGGCTTGATGGAGATCAAAGCGTTACTTCTCTGCTAAAAATGGTCATTTTGAGACAGTTCAAAGGAGTGTTATAAGACTAATCAGAGAATCAGTGTCTGTGTTTCTTTCTTGTTCACTTAGAGACAGGAAGAGAGAAGAAAAAGGTGAGATAATTTAACAAAGGCCAACTGTTGTCCTATACCGAGATTGGGGGCAGGAGAAAATGTTTTGAGGTCCAAAGTTCATACAGAAAGTGATTTCCGTCATTATGCTACATACACAATACACATGCCCAATATTATAAGCAATAAAGGGGAACACACATGTTCAACTCAAACTTGTCAGCCAGGACGAAGAAGATGCATCTTATTTATTAAAACAGACATCATGCAGTCCTAAACTTAGCAGACTATTAAACTTGTGCAAACGAGTGTTTACATGCACCAGGCTTTTATTCAGAACAAAAGCACTGACATGCGCAGTTGCTAACTCCCCCTGGCCAAAATAAATAAATAAATAAAACACAGAGAAGAGTTTTACTTTCTTCAGGAACGTAAACAAACAGCTTCTGAGCACTCAGAATGGACCTGCGACAGCTTTTAATGGTGGAGACCTGGTTAAGCTACAGGTGACGGACAGCTTTTTTTTGTTTGTTTGCGAAGCGGCAAAGGCTGTTTGTCTTCCTTCTTTACTGAACGAGAGGAGGAAATGTTCTGTGCTGCTGTGTGTGCGCGTGTGTGTAACGGCGCTGCAGTCCCTCCCTCCACTGATTGACAGACCACCGACTAACATTTTCGTCCAGTCTCGTCAATGAAAACTCACACACGTTTCGTCACGTCTTAGTCATCAAAGAGCTATATTTACTTTGTTACCGTCTCGTCGTCATGAAAAGAGGGCGTCAACGAAAATATTTCGTCATCGTTAACGAAAACAACACTGATGGATACAAATCCTGCAGTGCCCACAAGCTCCTCCTGCTCAAGAAGGCACATGTTCATGCCCGTCTGAAGTTTGCCAATGAACACCTGGATGATTCTGAGAGGGATTGGAAGAAGGTGCTGTGGTCAGATGAGACAAAAATTGAGCTTTTTGGCATTAACTCAACTCTCCATGTTTGGAGGAAGAGAAATGCTGACTATGACCCAAAGAACATCCCACTGTCAAACATGGAGGTGGAAACATTATGTTTTTGGGATGTTTCTCTGCTAAGGGCACAGGACTACTTCACCACATCAATGGGAGAATAGATGGAACCATGTACCGTGAAATCCTGAGTAAGACCCTCCTTCCCTCTGCTACGATGGGTCATGGCTGGGTCTTCCAGCACAACAATGACCCAAAACATACAGCCAAAGCAAAAAAGGAGTGGCTCAAAAAGAAGCACATTAAGGTCATGGAGTGGTCTGTTCAGTCTCCAGACCTTAATTCCATCTAAAACCTACGGAGGGAACTGAAACACAGAGTTGCCAAGTGACAGCCTCAAAATCTTAACGATTCAGAAATGATCTGCAAAGAGGAGTGAATCCAAAATTCCTCCTGACATGCATGCAAACCTCATCATCAACTACAAAAAAGTCAGACTGCTGTGCTTGCCAACAAGGGTTTTGCCACATTTTCCTCTAATGCCACTTAATGTAGTGTCGGTACGGTCAGTGTCGGAACAAGTCAGTTCGGGTGCTTTTCCATTGACGTTCCAGTGGGTGTGTTTTGGTTGGTGGGTGGAGGTGGTTTTCGGGTTTTTCAAAAAATAGTTAATGCGCAAAATGAGAGATGGAAACACATTTGTCAAATAAGTTATGAAATTTTAAAAATTCACTAAAAATTATAATTAAACTTGGATGGAAACATGACTAAAGTCGCTGCTACAATTGAAAAACTGGCGCCTCGAGTTGTTGTTGTAAAGGCAGCTCAGACGCAACCAGTGACTCCACCCCCTAGCCAATCAGTGACGAACAATGCTCTGACGTCACATGCTGGTGTTAACTGGGACCGCTTGGAATCGCAACAAAGTAGGTACTAAATAAACAAAGGGCTGGTTCCATGAATTTGGCCTAATGGAAATGGCTTGGAACCTTACCGAACCGTATCAACACTACACTAAGTGGCACTAGTTGAAAAAGGGTTTCGCTCTGCAAAATGCAAATAAATTTAAATAATTTATACAATGTGATTTTCTGATTTTTTTAACATTCTATCTCTCACTGTTAAAATTAACATACCCATAGACTGTTCATGTCTTTTTAAGTGGACAAACTTGCAAAACCAGCAAGGGAACAAATACCTATTTCCTCCACTGTATGGACCTTTCCTACGCCTGGATGTGGCTCCACATAAAAATAGAAATTGGTATCTCACTTATTTTTCAAGTTATCCAGCTCACAGACTGAGGGTTTTTCCAATTCCCCTCTTTGCTCTGTAACAGGGGAACAAAAAGAGCCAAGCTCAAAAGCTAAAACTGCTGCCACAAGTGACTCCCTAAAGGATTGACTTTGAAATAATTATTTGTTATGCATACACAAACTACATAATTAATTTACTTCAAACTGGAAATTCCAGATTATAGGGCAATAAAATAAAAATACTACTTTTGCAATTTACTGTATTTTTTAAAAGTTAGGCTTCAAGAAATTTAAAGGCTGCAAAGGCACAGACATAATATAAGTTTGTTTTTTATGTTTTGTTAATGTGATTTTACATAAAAGGATTTTACATAACATTTTGGACAACCCTGACCATCCTTTTCATCAGACTGTCATAGAAAATCAGTGTCTTCAGTCAGAGGCTTCTTCAATTTCATTGTAATATAGACCATTACAGAAGATTTTTCCTACCCACAGCCATCAGCACATATATGTCAACCTCTTCGTACGTTTACCTGTTTAATGTTTAAGGAGCCTCAAAAATCCGTAAATTTTGCAAATAATCCGTACAATTTGCACCCGCGGGGTGGGGTGGGGGGTGGGGGGGTCGGCTGCAGACATGTAAGCGCCCGCTGCGAGGAGAGCGGAAAAAGTTCAAAACTTATTTCTAGTGGCAGAACAGGTTGGAAGATGGCTGTTTGATGTTATTTATTGTTTTTTTTTTAATCATACAGGCTCTGACAAATTTGAAAATGAGGTTTTGAAGAAATCCGTAAGACTTGAAAAAATCTGTGAGATTGCTCTATACGTCTGTATACCTGCAAAATGACGTAAAATCCTTATAATTTACGGACAATCCATACAAGTTCACATGTACTGTATGTCAGCATCTACAATAACTCTTTAGTTAAATGAGTTACAACAACATCTAATTCCCCTGTGTAATTATAAAAGTACAACTGAATTGAATTGAATTGAAATGAATTGAATTGAACTGACTGAACTGAACTGAAGGGAATTTAAAACATCCTGTTTGTTTAGATGTGGACGCCCCTCAAGACCTTGCAGCCAGCAACATCCAGACAGAAAACACTATGCTCAGCTGGAAACCTCCCCGTGCTGACATCACTGGCTACATCCTCAGCTTTGAGTCTGCTGGTGGAACCATTCGAGTAAGTATGCGGCATACAAGGACTGATCAAAAAGTTCAGGTTGTACTCAATACTCTGTATGAGAGTAAAACAATTTTCCTCTAAGGAGGTGGTTCTGAGTCCCACTGCTGTGTCATACAACATGGCCCAGTTGATCGCCTCCACACAGTACTCTGTCAGGCTGCAGGCCCTTGCCGGACCCAAGAGAAGCCAAGTTATCAGCACCACCTTCACCACCAGTGAGTAGATTTGTGCGAACATACTTCTGCTTGTCTCTACAAACAGGTAACAGCTGACTTAGTTTTAAAACACTGATCACATGATCAGTTAATGCTCAGAGTAGTAAGTTTTATCAGTATATTATCAGTCCCAAATAATACCATACAAACAGTATTTGAAATATTAACCAAGTAGCTTTTAAAAACACAACCTAATGTTTTAGGATTAATAAATCATTCCTTCATTTGCTAAGTATCATTCTTTCTGCTGTACCATTAATAATTAAAAAATATTAAGAGCACAGGACATGTCAGCACGATCCACAGTAAACATAATTTTCTTTTAGTAAAATAAAGACAAAACAATCAGTGTGCTAATATTTTACCTGCCTAATAGATTTTGTTAGCATTATCAGAATCACTAGCATTGTTAACAGTAACAGTGGTCTCTGTGCCTGCCCCATCTGAAGTGCTCTGCCTCTAATGACAGACAGAAGTTAAAAACACAAATTAGAAATCAGAGCTGCATTATTCCTTCTGTCTGCTGAACTCCAACTCATTCTGTCAGACACATGACGAACCAGAGAGGATAGTCTTCTGTTAAAATATTATTTCCTTCTAAAAGCAGGGGAAGAGCCAGAGGGGTGACCACAGTGGCAATTGCTACCTCTGTGGCACCCGATTGGCCACCCCAGGTGCCATCCCCAAATAACTGACAAGTTGGTGGGGATCCTGGATTTTGTGTTTGCATTTAGATTTTGTTACTGTACTACATTTGTACTACTGTACTACATTCAATCTTTTAGCTGTGTTTAAAGACAACCTACTATGGGGGTCCTAGCACAAGTTAGGATCCATCTGTGGGCTCTACAAAACATGTTCATTTGATTTAATTCACAAAAAGAATATCAAAAAATGAAATTTCACCTTTTCAGTTCAGCCTGTTCTTTAGCTCTCTTCAGATCGTGCTGCATTCAGAAGTTGCTATGGAAACCCCCTCCCAACCAACAATATTGTTAGAACATTGGGCCTCATGCAAGAACATGTGCGCATTCTTATCCTAAATTTCTCTTACTTTAGTTCATACGAAGGGTATGTACGAACATGTCACATCAGATTCAACAAACTCTTCTATCTTCAGGAAAAGTGTGTAAATGAGGAGCGTAAACAGATGAATGTGTATCAGGTGCTCGTGCACGAGGAGAGGAGATTAGCATAATTACCACCCCAAAAACACCATACAAGGCTATGTTTCCTGCCACACATACCAGGAAGTGTCCATTCATAAATGACATTGCAAAGTAAAAAAGAAGAACTTTACGAGTTCAGAGATTGAAGTTATGCTCTCAGAAATCCACAAAAAAGTCATTTTTAGCAGCATCAGCTGTGGAATTAAAGGATCTGCTTTAAACCCGAGGAATGAAATGACGACTGCTGTCTGTTCCCAATTAGATTGGGAAAGGTCTTGATTGTGGGTGATTTTAATTTGCAGATTGATGATGTTACTTCTATCCCAGCGAGAGATCTTATATCACTGACAGAGGCGTTTAACTTTACCCAGTATGTCTCAGGTCCCACACATAACAAGGGTCATACGTTAGACCTGGTTTTTGCACTGGGCTTGCAAATTACCAATGTGTGTNTGATTCATTTGTTGTTTAACTAAGAATGTTTATGCATTTGTTAATCATATAATGACTGTCACAAAGAAGGTGGAATCACTTCTACTCTTTTATCGTGCCTAAAAGATTAATTAATGATATAAAAATCACAGAGAAAATCATTACCATGTTTTCATTGTTTTTATATAAATCACTGTTTTTATTTGACTGGAAACATCAGTAATATAATTTTGAGTTTTCTTAAGAAAATCTTTCATTTATCTGGACCAACAAAAATTTCAGACTGATTATTTAAACAGAAATGTTAATTAATCATCATAAATGTTTTACAGTGATTTCTATTAGTCTATCAGAAAGAAAGCTAAAGATATTATCAAATTTCTGTTAAAAAACAACCACAGAATTTGTCCTTGCACTGGCGCCGCTGGCAAGCTCTTATCTTCCTTCATTTCTCTGACTCWTTCTAARGCCTGAGGGCGYAACCAAATTCGTCCGCTTCTATTACTAACATGGACGACTTTGAGAGACGGCACACTTCTTCCTAGATGCCAACAGGGAAGAAAGGCTGATTTCTCTTCGGAGGAACCAGCTCGGCCGTAGGTCTTGCCCATGAGCCAATTAAGGGAGATCTGATGGCCCGGACAGTAGCACGCCGCTACTGTCCACACTGAGACTCAGGTCTCTAAGTGTTTTTCAACTCTCGAGGGGAGAAATTTTATTTTGAAGGACGAACCTGATGCATCAGCTTGAATCTTTCTGGCGAAGTTCGAAGCAGACGAAAGTTGCCTAAATAACACTTTTCGCCAAGGAACAGTGAGCGGGCCGAGCAACACGTTCACTGACTGGTCTGAGGTGAGGCAGTATTTGCCTGGGGTGTGGTAAAGAAGCTAGCAACAGGTAAACACTGTCGTGTTCCGGGTGACGTGTCATGTGGAGGTCTCAGCGCAGAGGGGACGRGCTGATCCGGTTGATACCTTTAACAAAATAAGAGTCGAAACACTAACCTTATTTTCATCCCTTTTCTTATTCTTTATTTGCCAAACTTAAGTTAAAAGTGCCAGTAAAATTGTTTGGTTGTTAACATCAGAACTGACGTTTTACTGTTCTATATGAGTAATCTGAGTTTAATGTGAATTGAAATTTGGACGCGAGTTTTACCTCATTTTAACTCTGAAGCTTGTTATAGGAAAATCCACAATCAGGTGTACTTATGATCTGTTCAATTTGTGTAAATAAATGATTGKATAATCTTCTATGAATCAACTTGAACTCGTCTGAACGTCCCTTATTGTGTCACTTTTCACTTTGCACAGTCAAAATATTAAAGTAATGAGGAAATACCTTGGTAAAAACTTCTCTCATAACTAAGTTATGAGAAGTATGTAGGGAGGCTTATTTTAACATAAGTCCAGTTCCTACACATACTTGTCTTATAACCTTTAGCTTTAACATGCTGGTCTTATAACCTTTACCTTTAACATGCTTGTCTTATAACCTTTACCTTTAACATGCTTGTGTATAATAGTCTTTCTAATCTCCTGAGACAAGTCTTTCCTTGTCTTCCTCTGGTCCATGTTGAGTGTGGTCCACACCATGTCACCAAACAGCATGGTGAATATCTGTAGCTTATATACAGGCCCACTGACTGATTATAGGATTTTCAACACCTGTGATGATAATTAGTGACACCTTGATTTAACATGACCCTTTGGTCACATTATTTCAAGGATTCCATCATTTCTGTCCAGCTCTGTTTTATGAGGTTTATTTTCGTAGGGAATTTTTGGGTATATTCTAAAATAGCTAATTTGTGACTCACAAATTAGCTTACCTCGAGGCACCACATTCCTTAATTCGATCAAGTGTTGACCCAGGAAAGAAATGAAAAACTGTAACTTATTGTAATCAGTCTAAGAATAAATTTACCCAAATTAATTTCATGAGTTCTTGTCTTATCAGAACCAGAAATATATTTTATCAAGACACAAAAATGAGATTAGCGTATGTTGGCACGTTCTCCATGGGCCATTTATTTACAGATTAAATGTATTTA